TAGCAATCAAAATGAAAGTATTGATTTCTAACTGACCCTAATTTCTCTCTATGCAGTTTTTTCAGCTTTCCCTATAACAGTGTCCAATTTGCTGTCATGATGGTTGCTCAGTGCTCCCCTTTTGTAGTGCGGGGTCAGGCTAATCTAAAATCCTTTAATTGGCCTTTCTGAGCCTTCTGGCCATAGTTCAAAGGCCTATACAGTGCATTATGGTTTTAAAAAATTCTCCCAGGTGAATACGCACAAATATTTACAGGGATCATGAATCAAAAACCCACAGGATTCACCTCAAACCTATAATAGCAGCAAATCAGTACCGTATCCCTAACAGTCGAGACAGATTACAACTGCTGTTGGTTTTTTTCTCTTATCTGTTGCTGTATTAAAGTTTCCCCTTACATGTCAACAGTTGCACCAGTGAGATCAAGGTGAACCTCAAAAAGCAACACAGAATAAACCTTTGTTGTTACATATTTTATATTGTGTCATTATTGTAGATTTTCTCTCCCTTCTTTTCTAGTAAAACTGTTAATAACGGGACAAGTAAGTGAAGGGAAATCTCTGTAACTGAGCCCTGGATGGTAGCAAAACCTGCCAGAGATTCTAATCCTTGCCCATTCTATCTAAGAGTGAAAAAAGGTGGTAGTATTTTATCAGTGGGTACACTCTTGAGATGAACTTTGTACCAGTACTTATTGTAGAGGGAGCTGAGAGTTTTCACTCAACATAACCCAAATTCAAAGAGGGGGAAAAACATTCCAACGTTAGCGTTGAACAGGCAAGCAACTATCTCTGTCCTTCCTTTAATTCCTCAGCTCCAAAAACCCAACATATTCAATGGATGAATGTTACCCACAATCACATAACAGAACTACCTCAGAGACCCTTTTGGTAGTATTTTATCAGTGGGGGCACTCTTGAGATGAACTCTGTACCAGTGCTTACTGTGGAGGGAGCTGAGATTTTTCACTCAACATAACCCAATGTCAAAGAGAAAAACAACATTCCAAAGTTAGCTGTGGACAGGCAAGCAATTTACTCCATTCTTTCTTTACCTCCTCAGCTCCAAAAACCCAACGTATTCAATGGATGAATGTCACCCACGAATATACAACAGACCTAACTCAACTAACTGTTTTTGAAAGTGATTTCTAAGCAAAATAAAGCATTAACACATGGACGGATAGGCGAGTTTGCTTTGAATATTAAAAGTAAACTAAATAGCATTTTTGGTTTCTGGTGGGGGGGAATAGTGCCCCACTGTTGATGTCAGTGGACAGAATAGTGTTTAGTACCAGTGGGTTGAATAGTAAAATTAAGAAAAGTTGCAGTTTGGAGGAAACTGATATACTGTAAAACATAACTTGTCCTTATTTCATTTCCATGTCTTTAATGACTGTTATTCTCAAGAGATTTGGAGTGTTTTCCTGGAGTGTTTTCCTGAGCACTATTGTAGTGAGAGTTGGTCACTATTGTTGTGTTACACTATTTGATTTATTATTATTTCTCTGTGACCATCACTTGTTTATCATTTCTCTGTGTCTTTAAGCTGTCTTCTTCTGTCTAAGCTGAGCTCTTTCTCTTAACATACTTGTGTATACCCCCCCTTACAGTCATTCCACTGTATCCTGTCTTCCTGAATGCATCTTTCCATGAGGCTTACAACGTTAACGGTTTTCTATCTATGATTATCCTCCATTAAACGGAACATTCAAATGGGTTTCCTCATCTGGCTTCCTCAACATGTGAGTTTATTCATTGAGTTAAGCTGTCTGAACTGATGCAAGAGATAGATTCAACACCATGATTCGTATAGCTGTAAACATCGCTGGAGATAAAGTTTATGATCTTGTAGTTGAGTTAGAAAGCTATTTTTGCTCATCGCTGGAGATAAAGTTTATGATCTTGTAGTTGAGTTAGAAAAACTATTTTTGCTACTTATTGTCCTACTGAAGGCTAGCGGGAGCAGAGGTTATTCATGAAGACATACAGTGCTATATTCTTCTCAACAATTATTTTCTGGCTTCCTCCACTTATACTGCTGCATACAGTGCTCCCACTGTGCTGTTGCTCTCTGTGAGTTTCTCTGCCGTCTACACCTCTACAGCTGCCTATTGAATATTACGCCACCATTTATCATTCATCAATTGTATAAATCAGCAGTCATCAATGTGGTGAGTCCAGCATGGAAAAGCGAAACTTTGCTACTCTACAAAGATGTGATCTCCACATAGAAACACAGCATGGATAACTATGTATGTCCTGGGGAAAAGATCAGCTGCACACGGAGCCTACAAGCAATATGATAAGAAATGAAGAAACCACATAAGAACCATTTACTACTGTATTACATCAATTGATTAGATTCTTGCCCCCCCTACCAGAATTTTATAAGGAACAGCTTTCATAGTATATATCCTTTTTAAGTGCAGAGTGATAATGTTCACATACAAGTATTGCCCTAGAGTCCAGCTCTGGTTGAAAATTCTTTACAAGTTAAAGTGTGTGTTTTACTTTAAAATCTAGCCAGCATTTATCATTTATTTCAGTAAGAAAACTCTCACAATAACTCGGTTACAAAAAGGAAACCTGTATTGAGACAAATCAAAACGTAGACAGTCATTTTTGTTCAGTTCATAGTCTGTATCAGATGTGAAGATGCAAACAGACTGTCCACCAGGGAGTTTGGGGAAGCAGAGAATTAGGTAAGGTGCAAAAACTCTCCCCTAGAATAAACAAGCAATTATTCCTTACAGTCGCAGCCCCACTGCAAGGAATAATTTTCAAGTTTCTCGTGGTTGGGCTTTAAAGCATATACTTTTCAAATTCATGCCATCATTGCTTAGCAATGGGCAGCAAACAATAAGCAATAAGACAATAAGTTGCCTTTTAATTAAATTCTCAAAACCTTTCCAGAAAGCTACATAGAGGATGCACTACAGAGCTGTGGACACTGATCCAAGCCTGGACACAGCAAATACTTCAGTAAGGCAACTCATATAAGATTTTGTATTATGTTGTAATATTAAGTCAGACACAGACAGATTTGGCATTTGGTATTCACGTTTCTTTTATTATCATTATGCTACATTTTTTACATTTTTCTTTTTCAATAATTTTTATTGAAACATTTTTCAAAAACAGTATAGTACAAGTACAATCGGGTAAATGTTAAATAGCAGTATCATATCATAAGTCAGCAAGGAAGGACCCTCCTCCTCCTTCTTCGTCACGCTGCAGTCAAGCTCCATGATGGTGGTAAGCCATAGTCAGCTGCACCCTGAGGAGTGGGATATTTCTTGCTCATAGTACGGAAAGGTCCTATCTGTGCATATATAGGCATAATGGGGGGTCGACACAGTATTTGATGATTGTACGATGTATGCAATCCAGCTAAAAAGCTTAGAACAATATGAACAGTTACCGTAGAACCGTATAAGGTCGCCAGTACCCAACAACTCCTGTGTTAGGCTAGGGAACCCTTCATATTTGTACCAATACATTAAAAAGAGAGGTTGGTATGTAAATCAGGTAAGAGAGGTGAAAGAGGAGTGAAGTGGAGTAGAGAGAAAGAAAGAAAAAAGTGAAGAATGAGACCGGTCACCACATTCCTGTCTACCTACCCCTCAGGTCACCCCGCCCCCTAGGGAGATTGGAGGTATTTAAACCAGGGGTTCCATATTTTTTCAAATCAAAGCTGTTTGTCCAGGAGGACACTAGCCAATTTCGCATTAATCATAATCCAGCAAATATTTTGTATGATTAGCACAAGATTGATCACAGGAGATTTCCATGCTTGTGCTACAGTAATCTTGACTGCCGAAAAAATATAGAAGGCAAAGATTCTGTGAAGTTTTGGAAGTTTGCTTGACAGGTCGGAAAATAGTACCGTCTTGGCATTTTTGGGAACATTCAGTGCAGTCACTGAGTAAAGCAAGTTTAATATTCTGGTCCAAAACCACTGGACCTCTAGGCAGGTCCACCAGAAGTGGTACATGGTACACTTTTGCCCACACCCCCCCCTGACATTTTTTACATTTAAAAGTAGTCTTTTGCTTCTACTGAGCACTTCCTTTAACTTATATTTTACACAATTTTGTTCAAAGAAGGGAAGTGTTTCTATACTAAACAAAATACAGAAGAAGCTGAAAATAAAGTACAAGTAACATCACAGTTCATTTACTAGGTTTACGGTGTTGTTTGAAAATATATAAATAAATATCCACAATCTTTACTTTCACTTCAGTTAAAACATTTTCTATTTTGCTATTTGTATTTTTTCTCCCAGAACATTTTTTTTAGTTTAGGAACAGAAAAGAGTTTAATCTCCAAGTCCTAACCCAATTTTTGACCCAAAAATGCTCTATATATAATTTTTTACTTCCATATCACTAGCTCATCGGAGCATTTTCTACAGGTACACATGGTAAATGTGAAAGGGGATCCATTAGGGATTGCTCACAGTCAAGATCTTGCTGTGAAGGCTACACTGAGTGTGAGGAAGATCTCACTGGAATCCCAGTACTGGGTGGGATACCAACCAAAGTAAACTTTGTCCTACCTCACCTACAACTAGCAAAACTAGTTTAGAATTCTGTCTTATGGGAAACAAATTAATGCTACTATTTAATTATTATTTTCTATTTTGTATCTAGAGTGTTGTGGTTCATATACAGTGTTTGCATATACAGTTAGTGTCAGAGTCTCCAAAGTTCAGAAGGGTGTAAGACTTTAGCTGACTTATTGAAACTAAGAAGAAAATTAAATCTAATCAGATTTCTGATGATTTGGCCATTGCAAATTTGAGAAAGTAAGGAAGAATCTGATTAATTGGTATAAAGGGTTGTTCCAATTTCCTTTTTGTATAACATTAGTCATACTGTTTTAACTGTATAATGTGTAATTATTCTGCCCAAAAAGCCGTATAACAAATTGTGTATATGTATTTTTGAAGTGATACATTTGAATGTATACATTGATTCATCCATATTATGGTGCATTCAGTTTACAACAGTCTCAAATGTTGGCAAGAATGTCTTGAGTTGTAAGACATCTGTAATAGGCTGCTTTCTCTCTTGATAAAAGTCCAATCCTGTGAGCAATTCAACATCACGGACACGAGCTGTATGTGCTTTTAGTCTTTCTTCAACCCATAATTCTTCGGCCTTATTGTCCTGAAAATGAAAGGATTAAATGTCTATGAAGGTTGTTAATTATCCAGGATATAGTATATCTGTTAGTAATTAGTCACATTTAACTGGGCTGGATCTGTAATGTTGAAGACTTTTAGTAGCTCATCCAAGTCAAATATGGCCATGTGAGCTTGCATAGCTATCATTAAAAGTACATCCTAGATTCAGGCTAAGATTGGTGAAATAAGTAGGAGGGCAATGATGTGGTAAGACTGCGGACACATTTGCCTCTGTACAAGTCAGATTCTATGGTCCATAGTTATAGGGCAAGCCTATTATTAACATCTATTGACACCTTAAACGTTACTTTAAGTTTACAGGAAAAAGTAGCTGAAATGTACTTTTACTCATCTCTTATCAGATAGTTTAACTTCCAGAGTTCAGATTGATGTTTGGAGAACTAAAAAATTGCATGCTTTGTTAAGGTCTGCAATAAAAGAATAACTTATAGCTAAGAATTAATTAACTAAATTTAATTGAGCAACTTGTTTAAAATCAAGTTATCGGTGAAAAAGTTAACTTCTACCATGCTACAAATCAAGAAAAGCATTTCCTGCAGCATATTTAAGAATCAGTTTAAAAAATATGAATCCATTAGGGTGTATGACAGTCTGCTTGTGAACAACATTCCCCTTACAACCCCTTTTAAGAGGTTATCATTCAAAAATGAAAAATATTGTATGTATTACATTTAAAGCGGATCTCCAGGTTTCAATTATTGTTAAATAGTTTAGACCAAGCTGGCCCAGAGGAATTATTTTCTCCACTAACAATTGCAGCAGCTGAGAGTGCTGTATAAACGATATGTGGTCTCAGCTACATAGAGTATATAGTGCTGTGTTCTGGCAGTGGGACAAGACCTGAATGAATACAAAGCTTCCTCTGATTGGCTGAGGCAGAGTTTGTGACATCATCAGCCCGACTTTCTGCCTCAGCCAATCAAAGGAAGCTTTGTATTTACTCACAGAATACAAAGCTCCTGGTAAAAGGCTGAGCAGCGCTCAGCCTGACTTCATTTTGCTCGGGGAGCGGGGAAGCTCTCATCCTGCTGCCAGTATACAGCGATGTACTGTATACTGTATGTAGCTGGGGCCACATATAGGTTATATGCGCTCCCAGCCTCTGCAACTGTTGAGTCAGCTAAATTGATAATTTATGTATTTATTTTATTATGACAGGTATTTATATAGCACCATCAATTTACGCAACACTTTACATATATTGTATATTCACATTTTATTTATTTATTTCAGGTACTTATATAGCGCTGCCAATTTACGCATTTTTACACATATATATTGTACAGTCACATCAGTCCCTAACCCTCAAGGGGTGTACAATCTAAGGTCCCTAACTCACATTCATACATACACATATTAGGGCCAATTTAGATAGGATCCAATTAACCTACCAGCATGTCTTTGGAGTGTGGGAGGACACTGGAGCACCAGGAGGAAACCCATGCAAGCACAGGGAGAACATGCAAACTCCATGCAGGAGACGCCATGGTTGGGAATTGAACCCATAACCCATTTACTGCAAGGCAGACGTGCTAACCACTAAGCCACTGTGCCGCCCATATTAATTTTCTACCCTCAAAGAGCTTACAATCGAAGGTCCCTAACTCACATTCACACATACACAAACTAGAGCCAATTAGACAGGAACCAATTAACCACTTCCCGACAGACCTATAGGAGAACTATTGCTACAGGGCAGCAGACCTGCGCTAAATCATGTATATATAAGTGATCTTGCATTTCTGGGTAGGGGGCGTGCATACGTGCATACGTTGGCCGTCCTGCCCACGCCGCTATTGGCAGGTACAGATGCCAATCAACGGGTCCCAGCTGGAGATTCCCCACCGGCACTCGGAGAACGCCGAACATCACTGACATGGGAGAGACCTGTGTGTAAACAACACAGGTCTCTTTCCTTCCAGCAGTAACATGCTGCTGTGTATTTCTCTGCACAGCAGGGAAATACACAGCAGTATGTTTCCCTAGTAAAACACACACAGCACACGGTAACCGTTTGACCCAGTTAACCTTAGATGTTAACCCCCTCCTGCTCAGTGTCATTAGAACAGTGTCAGTGCTTTTTATTAGCACTGATCACTGTATTAGTGTCATTGAGGTGTCATTGACAGTTAGTCAGTTCCCCCCAGTGTCAGAATGCCTGCCACAGTCCCGCTATAAGTCACTGATTGCCGCCATTACTAGTAAAAAAAAAAAAAAACAGTTAATTTACATGTATTGGGATTTTTTTTTAGCAGAATACAATTTAGCCTAAACTTATGAAGTTTGATTTTTTAAAATTTTTTACTGGACATGTTTTATAGCAAAAAGTCAAAAATATTGTTTTTTTTTCAAAATTTTTTTGTTTATAGCGCAAAAAAATATAAAATACAAATACCACTGAAAGAAAGCACTATTTGTGGGAAAAAAGGACATAAATTTAATTTATGTACAATGTTGCATGACGGCGCAATTGTCAATTAAAGTAGTGCAGCGCCGTATCGCAAAAAATGACTTGGCCAGGAAGGAGGGTAAATCCTCTGGAGGGCAAGTGGTTAACCTACCAGCATGTCTTTGGAGTGTGGAAGGAAACCCACACAGGCACAGGAAGAACATTCAAACTCCAGGCAGGTAGTGCCATGGTTGGGATTTGAACTGACGAACCTAGTACTGCCAGGTAAAGGTGCTAACCACTTAGGCACTGTGCTAAGTTTGGTCCAAGTACACTATTTAAAGTTAAATAAATCCTGGAGATCAGCTTTCAAAATTTTATATTGACAATATATTGAGAAAAATAGGAACCGTGTTCCAAAATCAAAGAATTTTCATGGTATGTTGAAGGCCATTTAGGAAACCCTCAAAACATTGTGCCAAGCCACAATCTTACCAGGCAGTAAAGTAAAATACAGCCTATGTTGTTTATCTCTAAAGATTTGGCAAGGCTTTGACAAGATTGGGTTTCGGTGCATTCCTTAGAGATTTATAGACCATACTTTGTGATGGGGATTTTGTTTAGTGGTTTTTGTATATAAAAAAGATTTGAAACATTAGGACAAAAAAAAAATTCCTGCTAGTTTGAGGTTTATTGTTTGTAAAAACACGAGCTTAATGTATACAGTATATCACTCCTTCTTTACATCTCTCAGCTAGTTTAAGGAATTAATTTGAATTTGGCCCAAGCTGTTCTCCATTTAGACAATTCTGCATCTGAATATGAATTATTTTATGGCCCCTTCTAGGCCAAAATGTGAACGTTGCAGTTATTATTAATAATAATTATGTTCCCCCCAGCCCCTGCCCCCCCACCCTCTCCATAATGACCAACAACTCCACCATCAGTCCCACCCCAGAAGCCAAAGTCCTAGGTGTCACTCTAGACTCAAACCTGTCCTTCCAACCCCATGTCCAATCGCTGGCAAACTCATGCAGGCTCCAACTCCGCAACATCTCCAAAATACGTTTGTTCCTAACCCCAGAAACTACTAAACAACTCGTTCACTCCCTTATTATCTCACGTCTGGACTACTGCAACTCCCTCCTCACCAGCCTACCCCATCGCAGACTATCCCCGCTTCAGTCTATCCTGAACTCAGCGGCCAGACTCATCCACCTTACCAACCGCTCCTCTTCTGCCACCCCCCTCTGTCATTCCCTCCACTGGCTCCCGATTGCCCAACGCATTAAATTCAAACTACTAACACAGACATACAAAGTCATTCATAACGCTGCCCCAAACTGCCTCACCGACCTGATACCCAAATACCACCCTACCTGTAATCTTCGCTCCTCACAAGACCTCCTACTTTCTAGCCCCCTGGTCTCCACCTCCCATACCGGACTGCAGGACTTCTCCAGGACTTCCCCCATCCTCTGGAACTCACTACCCCAATCCATCAGACTGTCACCTTCCCTCCTTACCTTTAGGCGCACCCTGAAAACCCATCTCTTCAGGGAAGCCTACCCGACCCTCACCTAACAACCGATCTCCTCCACTCCTCCTACCACTCCATCCCCCACAGCCACTTCCTCCTGTACCACTATCCCCTCCCTCTTAGATTGTAAGCTCGAAAGAGCAGGGCCCTTGAATCCCTCGTGTTTTGTTTTGTCACTGTATTCTCTCATGTTCTGTCCCCCACTAGAATGTACAGCGCTGAGCAAACCTTTTAGCGCTATGTAAATACTGTATAATAATAATAATAAGGGCTGGAATATTTTTCTGGATTTAATTAGGCATGGTTCTCAGTGGACAAACTGGGGCTCCTTGAAGACGTATTCCACTCATAGCTCACTTTTTCATTTGAGTTTGAGCCTACATGTGCTGGTCAATTTTAGGTGTCGTTCACACAGGGCTTATCAATGCCTCACATGATGGCCGTGTTTACATGCACTGAGATGCACAGGTCTTTTGTGCATCTCCATGCAGAGAGTCCCGCTGATGTCAGTTGGGACATAGCAGTGGCATACACACAGGCGCTGCTCCCAGGTTGATATCTGTGTGTGTACGGGTTAACACAATCTTCACATGGGGGAAGCATTGATGCACCCAGAGTGAATAAGACCTTGGAAGAGGCAATTCTCATTTGCTGCTCTGAGTTTCTTGGACTTAATTAGCATTTAAGAATAAGAACTCTTTATAACATAAGATTATAGGAATTGTGAGCCCCCAAAATATCGTTTTTTCAGGTAATGGTTAATCTGGACATCAGGGTGTGACAAAAATACTAGGGACATAGACCATACTACTTTTACCTTAAATGAAATCTATGGTCACAGCATGCACTTTTATTTTATAACATCAGCATTGTAATAACAATACAAACAATAGTTATTTTTGACAATCCAATTAAAGCTTACTTGAAAAATCTCCTTTCATGTTGTGTTTCCTGCCTGTCTGCTGGGCATCTTTTTTTCAGAACTTCCTTGATTCCCTGCATGATCTACAGCATAGGTGTCAAACACAAGGCCCCCGGGCCAAATCCGGCCCTCCAGGCCATTTCATGTGGCCCTTGCACTTCTCCTGTAGGTACCCCCTTGTCTCCACCCCCACCTTGTCTCAGCAGTCAGCGGCACAGAGGAGAATAGAACTCTTCTGCCAAATCCTGCACCTTTTAGTGCAGCAGCTGCACCCCCTCATCTCTGCCTCCCCTGGTCACTGCATTCAGCGGACTCTGGTAACTGACTCCACTCCTCCTCTAGGCCTCCTCCAGACCCTGCACTTTCTGCTTTCCAGCTCTGCCCCCAGAAGGGGTGCACGGTGATGTTATGGAGGGTATGGGATTCTTGACATTTGATGTGGGGTGGGGTGCTCTGGACATTTAGTCTTACAGATACAACTGGCCCTTTGAGGGCAACCATAATGCTGATACAGCCCACGATGAAATGGAGTTTGACACCCCTGCTCTACATCTTCCCCACTGCTGTTTATGTTCAATTTCTAAATACTACATATCCCATGGTACCTTGCTGCCTGAAATCAGGGATTTCTCTAATGACTCCTCCTTTCAGCACCTCTGTAGTTTAGAAGGCAGGCTCTGTGAAACATGCAACACAGCAGTGCCTACTCACAGGGCATAGTGGATATGTATCACAGAGTTTAAGGAAGTAATTATTTGGGGATCTTCAGTAAGTTTCTTAAGTAAGTTTACAAACTTCAAGATTGTTTAGATTAATAGGCGTAGTAGGAAGATTCCTACTAAAACAGGAAACAGCAGCACAAGGGACACATCGCACTGATAATAAGTAATGTCCCTTGGGCAGTTTTTTTTTACTAAATACAGGCTTTCATTGACTAATTTAGCTGTTTTTGCCCCAAATAGGTGACAATGTAATGTCTGTGATGGCAGACTAATGGCCTCAAACCAATAGCTCTTCAAAAAAAAAAACCTCTTCTGATCGGTATTGTTGTCCCAGGGATAATTAGTGCTGCTCACAGCTTCTAGTTCTTAAAAGGAGAAGTACAGCCAAAGCTCTGTTGGATGTACTGCTCCTGTGGATCACAGAAATGCAGTTTGTTCTGCAGTCCTGTGAGCCGTATTCAGCTGACAGTGGGTTAAAGTCCATTGTTGGCTGACATCACTCAGCCGGTCCAGGCTTGGGAAAGATCCCGACTTCAAAGTTGGGATCCAACCCAGAGTCTGGAGCAGCACCTAACTCAGCCTCTCAGCGAGCTTCCCTCCACAGCCCGGCGCTCCAGTAAGCACTGGGGGGCAGAGCAGACAGTCACCACTCTCTGCTCAGAGCAGTGGTGAGAACTCATCGATCAGCGGCCATGTGATTGCTGAGTTCTCACCCTTAGAGCCGGTGGGGGACAGATGCAGCATCCACCTAGGTAAGTATAAATGGGTGTAAAAAAGTCCACACTCCTCCTTTAATGAACTACAGGGGCACTGGTGAGCGCTCTCATAGCTTAACTGATCTTCCTGCTCTCAAGTAACTGCCCATATGAGATACAGTCAGACAGCTATCCTGAGAGTCTGCAGAAGCCTGGCATTGAACCTGCGATCAGATGCAATGCTCTAGAGGCTCCTTAGAAGAAAAAAAAAATAAATGCACATTTTTTTACTTGCAAAAAGATGTGCATTTTTTTTTTTCAAAATGCGAACTTAGCCTTTAATGGAGAACTCTGCAGTGTTTCAAAATGTAATTGACTGTCCTGAGGGTGGCTGGATTGTATCTGCATGTAATGTCCGGAAGGATGGTTTCTGGAAGAGTTCAACTTACATGTACATGTATTTCTGTCATCTGTTTTGTTATTACATTATCTACTTCTGTGCAAACATGTCTAAAAGGCTTTCTAAGACTGTTTACGTATCAATAGTTCATTCATTTTTGTGGATTTCCTACTAAATCTGATTTCCTGCCACATTAGAATTCCCATCCCCATCATATCCATGTTTCCTTAATGCCCTCAGCAGTATACATTCCCCTATTAGCTACTTTACATATTTGGGATATTTCTGAAATTAGGAACCCATACATTCAAATTTGTGTTCCTGTGATATGCTGTATGTAATTGCAAAACATTTGATCCCTATTTATCTTTATGAGGTATTTATGTGAGTGTTTGGATATTTTCCTGTCCATTTTTTCTTATGTCAAGATATAATATATAACAAAAAATACAATTAAATGTATTCTTTGCTTTTATATCAACTTATATCAGCTTATATCGGAACTATACTCACCTTGGATCCAGTGATGTGCCGTCCCGAATCTCCCTGCTTGGCTGCTGACATCTTTGAGCGACGTCTTCTGGATCTTGATCCCCGGCCGCAGTCATTGGCTGGGCGGGGGTGATATCACTCCCACGCATCCATAAAGAAGACTTGTCGTTTGCCCATGCTATCACATAGGGGGATTGTTAACCTGCATGTGATAGCTATAAAGTGACATCACTGCCCCACCTCTCCACCTTGTCCAATCAGAGAACACTTTAAATTCATTCAGTATATACAAAGCCTTCTCTGAATGGTGCTCATCCTGAGCAGCTGACCCCCCTGTGTTCACAATACAGCAGGCTAAACAGATATGGAAGCAAATGTAGATCACTGGACCAGGGGCGTCCCTAGGGTTCGTGTCACCTGGTACGGTAAAACGTGGTGTCACCCCTCCAGAGTTGGGCAGTCTCTGTCATGCACACACAGCCTGGCTCTTCCCTTTCTTCCCTGTGTCCCCGTCACACCCCCCTGGACTGGTGTTGCAAGATCAGTTAACCCTGTATAGGTTGCAAGCAGGGGTGGACTGACAACTCATGGGGCCCCCAGGCAATAGAGGATCATGGGGCCCCTGTGTCCTTGCACACACACACTCAAAGCACACCCAAAAAAGCCTATAAAAAGGTACCAGGGGCATTTCATGGGGCCCCCTACTGACCAGTGCCCGAGTGCTTGAATGGTCAGTCCGCCCCTGGTTGCAAGTCGACGATCCCCACAAGATGGATTGGGGAGCATAATGGATTGGACTCCTGAAGACTGAAACAATTAACCCGCTGTGATTTTCAGATGACATAAAATAGTATATTTGCTTATTAAATAAGTGAACATAATAGAAGAATAATGTTTTTTGAGTGTGACTAGTAACAAATTATAGAAACAGAAAACAGAAAACTTACTGCACAGCTTTCACTGTTGTCTGGTCTGTGAGGAATGATGAAAGGTAAAACATCCAGATTACCGCTGCAGCTGATTGGAGTGTAAACGGTATTCTTGCAGCTGGTGAGTATGACGAAGTAATGAGTAGGGATGGGAATCTTTGTGCCTTCTACATATCTAAGGAAATATTGTATACAAGAATTCTGTTACCTTTGTGTAAAATTGTGTTACAAAAGCTCAAAGTTACAGTCTGATCATGAATACAAGCTACATAACATTCGATAGTAAGAATGTAACTCATGTTAAATTTACTAAATATTATTTGTAATAATTTGTACTGTATATGTTTACGTTATCTTGCATTTTGAAACTGCTGTCCAACAATGTGTGTAGTCCTTTTCAGCTTCGTTAGCTTATAGTGTTGGGATGAGCTTTATCGTTTTTATAAAACACAATTAACGGTATCTGCACACGTTTCATTTGCATGCGGTACGGGAATCACGCACCGAACATGACTTCTAGTGTGAACCAGCCCTAACACAAGGGAGCTGGAGATGCTGAATCAAGTGACTGGATTAAAAAGAGGTAAGTAAACAGATCATTTTATGCTATACCTATGCTTGATAGGTAGGAGGAGGAGGGAAGGTACATTCTTAACAGTGGCTAGCATTAGCATTTACTAACACTTTAAAATGACCTTTTGGGGGGGGGGAGTATATTTATTCAGTTAACCATTTTGTATTTTTCATTGTAATTTATTTTAATAAATTTGCAGAGATATGTTCATCATTTTACTTTGAAATTAAAGAGCTTTCGGTTAGTGTAAAAAAAAAAAAAATTGCACAAAACAGAAAAACTAAAAATTAAATTCTAGGACAAGGGTCTCCAAACTTTCTAAACAAAGGGCCAGTTTACAGTCCTTCAGATTTTGAGGGGCCAGACTGTACCATCATCGGTATTAGTGGGAGACATTTCGCCTCATTGTTGGTATCAGGGGAAGGAATCATGCCACATCATTGGTGTCAGTGAGAAGGCTAGTGCCCTGCTATTGGTGTCAATGGGAGGAATAGTGTCCCAATTATTGGTAGCAGTGGAAAGAATAATGCCCCCCACAATTATGCCCTACTGTTAGGGGCAGTGGTAGGAATTGTGCCTTGTTGTTGGGGTCCATGGTAAGAATAGCATGGCCGGATCTGAGGGGGGTGCTGGGGTGGGCTAGGCCCCCCTACCTCCAAATTTTAGTTGTGCCCCCCCGGGCAACCCATAGACTTTGACCATCAGCAGAAGCTGTCTGCAGTGGCTGGCAGCACCTCTCGAGGCTGAGTGTCTGACATTCTCACAGAGCCCAGCCAGCACACTCCCCTTCCTCCCTTCCCTGCCTGAACAGGAGAGGAGAAAGGGATGATGTGCACCACCTCCTGCTCCTCTCATCTTGTCTACCCCACCCACAATACTATTTCCCATAGCCCTCATCTTTTCTGCCTAATTACTATCTGTACTGGCCCAGCTTCTCTGCCCCTCCCTTCACCTTCCTACATAACATTTTATATAGCTGCAGCGGGAAAAGTGAAGGGGAAAACTAAGAAGTGTCACTTGAGTGACAGCACTGAGGCTGCTGAGATCACATTTAAGATGCTGGTGCCCACCAGAAATTCAAGACTTTTTGATGTCTATATGAGAAACTTTTACAGGTAAATAACATGCATAAAATATGTTACATGCACATGTAAACTTATGGAAAGATTTTTGTTGTAATGTTTGGTATGGGGACAGGGCTTTTTAAGTAATGAAGCAGCTTTTACTGCTGCTTTAGTAAATTACCTATTGATTAACCACTTCCCGTCCAGTCCTTGTACATAAATGACCAGATGGGAGCACTGTAGGAGTGGGTGGCTGTTTATAAATGTCCTCCCGCTTCCCTGCCTGGACACAGCAGAACACCGATCACCTCTGTGTGAGGTCCCGATCATGTGATCGCTGATTAGCCAATCAGTGATCACATGAATAGTAGTAAGCAAGATGTCACTTCTGACATCATTGCTTACTACTAGTGAAATCTGTGAATGATCACAGAGGTCACATGGTACAAGGCTATTCACAACAGCCTTGTACCATGTGACAAGCTGTGACCAATCACAGCTCACACAGTATTTCTCAATGGCTGCAAGAATGCAGCCAGAGAGAAGGAAAAATGATTGCTTTTACAGCCTTTATGGGTGTAAAAGCAATCAGTGTAAAAAAAAAAAAAAAAAAAATCTTCATCACCCCCCACAAGTAGTATAGTATCACTATGGTGACATTGTACTGCTAAGGTGACAGTATGTTAAAAAAAAACATAAATAATAAAAAAAAATAAAATGAAAAATGTAAATAAATTTTGAAAAATTATAATTTTTGGTTAAAAACTAATTTGAGTTATTATTTTTTCTTTTACAAAAAAGATAGCTGAATACATTTTGGCAAAGATTTATGAAGAAAGATTATTTGCAAAATTTTATAAGAAAAACACTTTTTTTTTTCAAAATGTTTGGACTTTTTCATTTATATAGCAAAAAAATAAAAATCCCAGTGGTAAATAAATACCACCAAAATAAAGTTTTAACTGTCTCAAAAAAATGCTAAAAAATTCATATGGGTACAGTGTTGCATGACCGTACAATTGTCATTCAAAGTGTGATAGCACCGAGAGCTGAAAATTGGCCTGGACAGGAAGGGGGTGAAAGTGTCCGGACTTGAGGTGGTTAAACTTGAATAGTTCCAGTGGAAGCTGCATTACATTAATTAAATGATGACCTAGTTGCTTATGTTCTTATATACCATAGGAAAAAAACATGTTCCAAATTTCATGAAATGGCATAACTTGTTCACTTTGGTCTCAAATAAGCCTAGTAAGCCAACAGCTCTGTGAGTAACTTACTGTTGGATTTGGTTAGGTGCATCAATATGTCCATCATAGTTGTAATCAAATATTGGCCCACTAACCACATTCAGGCCATTTCTTTCATTCGCATACTTTAGCAGTAACACATTGTGCAAGTAGTCCCAGATTCCTACAGAGAAAAACAAGAATGTAGAACATTACAGCAACTACCCAGCATAACAGTGATGATGTATTAACGGCATATGATGTATTTATTATCTACATATAGTGTTTTTACTTTTAGCCCTGGTTCACAGTGTTTTCTGTGCGAATTCCGTACCGCATCAGAATTGCACCCCATTCATGCGAACCACTGCGGGTGTGTATGTTAACAACACCCCGAAAGGGGTCTGCAAAACGCAGTGCGATGTGCAGTATCAGATCGCATAGGTGTAAATACCCATGCGATCCGATTCTAGTGCGGACCCAAAAAAGGGTCCTGCAACGTTTTGGTGCGGGTGCAGTGCGATTAGACTTATGGCTCCAATTGCGCCGCACACAAATCGCATGTGATTTGCACAGGAATGCGGTGCGGTTCCTGTGCGAATAACATGCGATACACCGCACCGCATATATGTGAACCCCGGCTTAACAAGATTTTTGCTTGCACATGATTTGAATGATAGATCATTTGGCTTACACTTCATTCACTTTGCAAAATCAAACTCAACCCACTAAACTGTGTAAATATAGATGTACCTTGGTTTACGAATGCCTCAGTTAACATAATTTTTGGTTTACGAATGAAAATCCATTGAAAATAATGCCTCAGTTTATGAATTTTTAAAGAATTTTTTTCGCAACACGAAGTGTATGTTGGTGTCGTTTTTAAATGCAATTTCCAGCTTTTTTTTTCCTTCATTATAGCTCACAGAATTAGCTGTCACTTTCCCGGAGCTAAAGGTTACTTTGTTTCTTTTATCTCGGGAAACAAACTAAAAGGAAACATTGTTTCTTTTATCTCCAGGAAAATTTCTCTCTTTTAACTGAGGAGAAAGGGACAGCGGATTCTCTGAGCTACAGTGAAGAAAAAATAAAGCTGGTAATTACATTTAAAAACCGGCACTGACCTATAGTGATGATTTTTTCTTCACTTTTTTCTGACCTCCGGAACGGATTAATTGGTTTTCAATGCATTCATTTGGGAAACTGTGTTTTGGTTTACAAATTTTTTGCAATTCGAAACGTCCCAGAAAACAAATTAAATTCGTAAACCAAAGTACACCTGTAATCAGTTTAGCTGAAAGTGATACAATGCTTCACATGTGAAACGGAGACCTGAGCTCCATCTGCTGGCTGGAAAAAGCACTACATAACCCCTACTTATTGTACACATGTACAATATTTTTTGTTTACCAGACTAACAAAATGTTTTTAAAAATTGTATTTTTTACAGACACATATGTATGTGAAAGTATGTATATGACAGTACCCAATATTGTGCAAGAAATATAGAATAATAAGTGGATTAGATGACTGAAGTGAACATATTGTCATCTTCTTCAGTAACTCAAATTAATATTCACTTTGCAAAATGAATACACTTTTTTTTTTTTTTACTCACTAAACATATGTGATAGCAGTCAACAAAAATGAAACACATTCCTGTACACAACACAATACTACATCTATGACTGCATTACTGGCTGAGTGTCTAACAGTCACCGTATTAACGTTTCTCCCTTATATGTACATTGACTGTACTAAGAGTTGCTGTCTATCATGTTTGATTTTTTTTTTTTCTGGCCAGTCTCTTTTTATTCCCCTGCGTGCTTCAGATATCTCTTGACTGTATGGTAGTACCAGTCTTTCATTACAAGAAATATTCAGCTTCTAATTTTGTAATCAGTGTACTCTGCATTCAGCCAAGAATGATAAAGAGCCCTAAAGTCCAAAACTCAGTTTCAACCTTTTAGCTGTCGTTAACTGAGAACAGAATGCAGATGTACCTCGGTTTACGAACTCCTTGCTTAACATAAGTCTTGGTTTACGTATGAAAATTCATTGAAAATAATGCCTCGGTTTACAAATTTTTTTGGTACTATGAAGCAAGTTTCCCCAGGATGCATTTCACCTAGGAGGTTTATAGCGCCGGCCCTGTGCCTTTAAAGTGCACTTTATAAAGAGTATTGAAGAGATAAGACTTTGTTTTTACTTTTTTTTCTGACCTCCCAAACAGATTAATTGGTTTTCAATGCATTTACAAATTTTTTTACTCATGTCCCTGTACAGTATTTATGTCTTTAAAGTGCACTTTATAAAGAGTTTTGAACAGATAAAACTTTTGACTTTTTTCTGACCTCCGGAACGGACTAATTGATTTTCAATGCATTTACAAATTAATTTTTAATCATGTCCCTGTACAGTATAGTGCACTTCATAAAGAGATTTGAACAGATAAAATACTTTTTTAAAAACTTTTTTCTGACCTCCGGAATGTGCCTTTAAAGTGCACTTCATAAAGAGTTTTGAACAGATAAAATACTTTTTTAAAAACTTTTTTCTGACCTCCGGAACTGATTAATTAGTTTTCAATACATTCCTATGGGAAACCCCGTTTCAATTTACAAATTTTTTGCAATTTGAAAAGTCCCACAGAACGCATTAAATTCATAAACCGAGGTAGGTCTGTAATTGTATTGCAATGTTTTATATAGAGAGACCATCTGATTGTGTAAGTAAAAAGTTTAGGACCATCTAGGCACCAACACAAATTAACTTGAGAGGCAGTGAAATTGTAGAACTATGCTATCCACAGCAATATGTGGTATGTGCTATCAGGGGCGGACTGACAACTCATGGGGCCCCCGGGCCATAGGGAATCATGGGGCCCCTGTGTCCTTGCCCAAACCCAAAAAAGCCAATGAAAAAGGTACCAGGGGTATCTCATGGGGCCCCCTACTGACCCCGGGCCCTCGGACAATGCCAGAGTTTGCAAATGGTCAGTCCACCCCTGTGTGCTATACATAGCAGTATGTATGAAGTTCTCATACATTGGGAAAATTGGACAGCCTGTGACTGAAAACTTGATTACAGCCCTACTCTGCAATTAATTGTATCCATCATTAGTGATTACTAAATTTGACAGAAGTGGCCTTTCAGTGTGGGAGTAAATAAATCCAATGTTTTGAGAGCCATGCACATGTGCTGAGGTAGCTGTCATTTGAACCACATTTTCCCATTCATTATCTAAGTTAAAGTGTTACTAAACCCAGGACCCTGCATTCACTATATCTGGTCTCCCACAGTACACAGAACAGGGAAATACAATTATTTTAGTAAATATAAATGGCTTAATACCTCTTCTCATTAGCCATATATATCAGTTTTGTTACTTATATCAGTGTCTGATCAAGCACTTGTTGAGATTGTAGGAGAAATTTTCATTCTCTTCTGACTGTCCTATGAGGTTCATGACCCCTGACCCACTGTCTGGACAGCTCTGATTGGCCCTGTGTTGATCACATGCACCCTCCCAAAAATATAACATAAACAACTCTCTTGCAATACACACCAAACAGAGCATGTGCATGAGCACTGTGACTTGCCACTGCTGCTCTGTACTATGGCAGATGGATTGGGGACAGTAAAAAAAGGGGAGGATCAGAGAAGACAGGATCAAACAGCCTTTTTACACAATGCTGAGGATTAAACCCATAGGTTCCACAGTGAGTATAACAGGCATGTCTTACTGCATATACAAACTGATTTTACTGTTATGGGTTTACTAACACTTTAAGTATCTATTGAACCTCAATATGCTCATACACTGCCCAAATGGCCCAAATACTGGTTGATTATTTTTTAATTACATTAAGCAAAATTAAAGTGGACTTTACAAGTTACATTATTTGAATCCTGATAGGTCACAATATACAGCACTATAATTTAAAAGAAAAATGATTAAAAAGCAGTTTTTTAGAGACTTTTACTTTGGCTGTTCCTCTTTGAACTACAGAATACCTTCTTCTATATTATGGAGATAAGTAGAGGGGAAGTTGTTCTATACCCCAAAATTATGAGCAAGCAGGCTAGAGTTATGTTACTCCTCCATAAATACAGTGCAGTAAGCGAGTATTGTCAACCTAGGAGAGTAAGTCTGAGGATAGGAATACTCATCCTAACAGGACAAGTAAAACTAAAGAAAAATATGCTGAAATAAACTCATACCAACACACCTACAGCAATATAGTCAATGTGTTCAGTTTTTGCTCTCTGGATTGGAAACACTTAAACCTCCTTTCAAGTAGTAATGGGATGTGATGGCAGAGATGAGCAATTTGGTAGAACTGTGTCATCAGTCTGCTACAACCAGGAGGAAAGTATTTAATCATCTCCCCTACTTTCTCAGAGTATATCTTTGCAACCAAACCATTAAAATTTTGTTGAACACAATGTAATGATAAGTTCAATTAAGACTTTAAGTTCACTAATTGTAGATGCTGACCCCCGCTGATGCCTTAACAAATATGATGGCAGCCCTCTGGGGAGAAAATGCATCATCAGGGAAGAAGACTATGGTTTCTGTGAGAGGTAATAAATACCTGGAAGTTTTATATTTAAACATTACTTAGCATACAGTTGTGTTCAAAATAATAGCAGTCAGACATCACTAAACTGATCAATCACTGGTTTTGGTAGAAATTATATTTCTACGTGGCAAATAATTTACTAGCAGGTGTAGTAGAGAGTAATAGAAATCCAACAGACCCAACAGTCATGACATGCATGCTGCTGATTCTGTGTAATTGAATCACTAATTGAAAGGGGCATGTTCAAAATAATAGCAGTGTGGAGTTCTATTAGTGAGGTCATTCATTCTTTGAAAAACAGGTGGCAATTATTGCCCTTTTTTAAGGAAGGAAGGCAGCAAATGTTGTACATGCTGGTTACAGTGCATTTCTTGCTGAAATTCTGAGGAAAATGGGTCGTTCCAGACATTGCTCAGAAGAACAGTGTACCTTGATTAAAAAGTTAATTGCAGAGGGGAAAACATATAAAGAAGTGCAGAAAATGGTAGGCTGCTCAGCTAAAATGATCGCAAATGATTTAAAATGGCAACCAAAACCTGAAAGACGTGGAAGAAAGCGAAAAACTACCATTCGAATGGATAGAAGAATAGCCAAAATG